GGGGGGGGGGGGGTGAATGTTAACAACATTTCAGTTGTTAACTTAACGTGTAATCGGACCGGTCTAATCGTTATCACGCGACTACTCCCTACTATGAACGTTGTAGTGGACGTTCCTATCAGCGGCCGATCAGCTATTACACACCACACACGCACATAACCGCATTATAGTATAGTACAACATTGTATTGCGTAACAACCAGTATATACACATTGTTTTGTTTTTTTTTCTATTGTTGAATTTCGTATATTTTTTGAAAACGTAATTTAATTTTTTGTAACAAGAAGAAGTTATTTTTTTATCATAGCATTGATTGTTTACAAAAATCTTGTTGCACTAATTGTGACTTCCTTAAAGCTACTAATTAGCTGACGGAAAGATTTATTGTTGCTACTAATTAGTAAAATTAAGCTAGTCAATTGTGATATTTAAATTTGAGTTACCAAATTGTAGTCTTAAGTTCATTTGTTATTATCGTGATCCTTGTTTTAGTGTTAGATAGCATCTCTGGCCAGCAGCTCTGCAAATTGTGAGTATTATTGTTGATTTGTGTTCCACTTTGTAATTTAGTGTAGTCATCTTTATTATTATTATAGTGTTTATTGATTGTGATTTAGTGAACATATTAGTTATCACAAGTTTTATTTATTTATTATTTATTTCATTGTAGGCGTAAGGCCAACGCACAACGGTCATAAGGACCTTTTGAGTATAAAATAATCATTATCGTACGGGTATTTGTTGTATCATATTGTGGGTAAATCATTAAATAATTAAACTATCTTTAATTTTGTGTTATCTGTTCAATGTCATTTTAATAATAATTATTATCTAGTCAAATTTGTTTAATTTAGTTACTACATCTTATTATTGAATTTATACTATTATTCTTTATATTGTGCTTTTTATTAATTTACATAATTTTACACCATTGTTCTTGGAGTTATTTTATACATATTGTTTATTACTATAATTACTTTAAAGAAAGAGTTGAGAATCATTTATTATTGGAAGAGTCATATTCATTTGTTATTGATTTATTAAAGTTGTATAGTTCATTGTTGTTGTTATTCTGTTATAGCTTTAGAGTGCATATTCATATTATTTGTTGAGCCAAAAGGCTCAAGTAAATAAGTGCTGTGTTATTTTTATTGTATTGAAGTGTGCTATTATATAATATCAGTATTGTGTGAATATTTAAATTTATTAGTAGTATTTAATTTATTTTTTGAGTTCAGCCAATTTTATTTTGTTAATTATTTGAAAATATATCTTTCATATTTCGTTATTAATTGATTCATCTGTAATGGTGGATTATGATGATCAAACATTAGAGTTATTAAAGAGATTAAAGAACAAGCGTACAGTGATAAAAGCATCTTTAACAAGGACTCGAACATTTGCTAGTAAATTTGATATCAATACACAAGCAATCACTTTATTAGAATTTAGACAAGAAGAACTTCCACAGATAAGTAGAAAATTTGATGAAGTACAATCTGAAATTGAACTCCTATGTCCTGATGATGCAGTTAATGCGGAAGAACAACGTACAAGGTTTGAAAATGACTACTTTGAAGCAGGGTGTGCACGGTTTAAACCAATTGGTTAAAACCATGGTTTAAACCAAATGGTTTTTTCTGGGGAAAAAACCATTTGGTTTTTTCCCTTTTTAAAAAAAAAAAAAAGAAGAAGAAGAAACATTTGCATATTCTTGAAATTTCAGGCTATAACTTCAACTGTCATTTGCCTGTCAGCTTGAACTTCCATTCTTGTTAATAACTTCAACTTTCACTTTTCATTTTAGTTCTTGTGTTCTTGACAGTCATTTTGGTAGCTTAATCTTATGTATTCTTATCCATGATCTAAACTAAATTTTTTTATAACATAAAATGTCTAGTGGTGGAAGGAAAAGAGATTTGAGTTGGTTGTACTTTGATAAAGTAAAAAATGATAAGAGGAAAGGCTCTAGGGCTAAATGCAAAAGATGTCATAAAGAAATGGAAGGCCATGTTGGAAGAATGAAAAAACATCTAGAAACTTGTAGATCTTTTGCTTCAGACTCTGATCATGATTCTGTTGATGCTCAAGTAGAAGTTACTACAAGTAGTACCACTATGACAGGAGAAGATACTGAAAGCAGTCTATGCCTTCCAGGTCCATCCAACTTGAAACGTAAACCTCCCTGTTCTACTCTTCCACTTGTACCGGAGAAAAAGCTGAAAATTTCAGATTTGTCTTCTTTTGTAGTGAAAACGTCATCAAGCCAGAAAGAAGTAATTGACTGTCATGTTGCCAAATACTTTTATGCTACTAATACGTCTTTTCGTAGTGTAGAAAATAATCATTTTAAAAAATTAATGGAGATACTTCGTCCTGGATATTTTCCACCCAGTAAATTAGATTTAAGTGGAAATTTGCTGAATAAAGTTTATGAATCAGAAATGGAAAAATGTCATGACACTTTAAAGAATCAAACTTTGTGTATGTCATTGGACGGGTGGTCTAATGTGCATAATCAACCTATTATTTGTATTTGTGTAACTACTATGGAGGGCATTGTATACCTAGTGGATACTATTGATACTAGCGGAACACCCCATACTGGTGAAAATTTAACAGATTTAGCAGTTACTGCCATAAAGAATATTCAAGACAAATTCAACTGCCGTATTCGCAGTTTTGTTACTGACAATGCAGCTAATATGGCAAGTATGAGAAAAGCATTAAAAACGAAAGACTGCATTGAAGTAGTGTGCTATGGCTGTTCAGCACATATTTTAAGTCTTCTATCAAAAGATTTAGAAATTCAGAGTGTAACAGAACATGTAGTACAGATAAATAAATATTTTCGTAATAATCAGTTTGCTAGAGCAAAATTCAATGAAAGTAAAGGAAACAAATCTGTTGGCTTAAGTTTACCCTCACAGGTGCGGTGGATTACCATGTGTGATTCTTTAGAGAGTTTAAGAACTCCAATGTTTAAAACATTAAGAACTGGCCGATTTTAATGCAGATTGTAGATGAAAATAGAGATGCAATTGATGAAAGTATAAGATCAAAGGTCATGAATTTGAGTATTAAAAGAAATGTGGAAGACTTATTGCTTCGCTTGAAACCAATTTCAATTGCTTTAGACCAAATACAGAAAGATAGCTGCAGTATCGCTGAAGCCGTCGATATATGGAAAAAGTTGGAAACAGACTTAAAGAAAAACAAAGTCCTTGATAATTGCAAGAAATCTGTCATTAATAAATCCTTCAACAGGTATGACCAAGCTTTGACACCAGTACATTTCTTAGCTTATCTTTTGTCCCCAACATTTCGACCAGAAAACTTATCCACAGAAGAAAAAAATAATGCTATTCAATTCATCAAAGAAAATTATGAAGACACATCTTTAATAACTATTCTCCTTAAGTTCATTGTTCGCGCAGAGCCATTTAATGGGCCGTTATTTGAGGATAAAGTTGTGAACAAAGTGGATGCTCTACATTGGTGGCAGTCTTTGTCAACTTTAAAAGACTGCATTTCATCAAAAGAACTATTAGTTATAGAACAACTCATGACTGCAAAGGCAACATCTGCGGGTGTTGAAAGAATTTTTTCTACCTTTGGTTTTGTACACAGTAAATTGAGGAATCAATTAGGGGTAGAAAAGGCTGCCAAACTGGCATTTCTGTTCAAATCGTTAAATAAAAAAATATTATTGTTACTTTGTGTGATTAACATTTCTGTAAATCTTTATTTCTAATATTTTTCTTATCAAAGTTTTAATCAATTCTGCCATGTACTACTATGCTCTCAGTTATACACTTGGTAAGTACATTTTACCTAATTTAGATATTCTTGATTTGTAAAACAATGCTATATATCAATGTTTTAAACATCAATGTAGCAAAATTTAGAGTGATTTCAGTTAGTTTTTTTTTTTTTAATTATTCTCTGGTGAAGTATGAGTTATATTTTATAAAATTATTCTTTGCAATGTTTTTTATTACAAAATATATTATATGTACGACAAATGATAACTTATGGGAATAAAACTGGTTTAAACCGAAAAAACCTGGTTTAAACCAAAAAACCCGGTTTTTTGGGTTTTTTCCTAAAAAACCTGGTTTTTTTCACACCCTGCTTTGAAGTAAGATCTATGATGCAAGAATACATTAATCAAACAAAAAATGCAAATGGCAACATAAATAATTCATCTTTCATGGCATCTACATTTTGTAATCGTATGAGACTAGCGCCGCCTAAACTACCAAGTTTTAATGGAAATATAGAGGAGTGGGAATCATTCTACAACGTTTTTTGCTCAATGGTACATTCAAAGGACTACGATCCAGTGGAAAAATTCTGTCACCTACGGTCAGCATTAAGTGGTTCAGCAGCAGAGATAATAAAATCAATTCCTCTGACTGATGAAAACTATGAAGTAGCATTGCGTAAGCTCAAGAAAAGATATAAAAATAAAGCCCTAATTATTCAGTCACATATCAAAGCATTGTTGAATAGTCCAAGAATAACCAATGCATCAGCAAGCAGTCTTGAAAAATTACACTCTCATGTAGAAGGAAATTTATCTGCATTAGAAGTGCTAAATGAACCGGTAGATCAGTGGGACTCTTGGCTTGTCACCATTATTTTAGGTTGTTTAGACGAGGCAACGAGTCATGAATGGCAAAATAGACAAACAACTACAGATATGCCCAAGTATAAAAATCTAGAGCAATTTTTAGCGGGTAGATGTGCGCTGTTTGAAACTTCAGAGGCATGGGATAATTGTGGTGTTGAAACCAGGAAAGGGATAGGTCGGCATGCAGCCAACAGGAAAATTACACTGGCAACGGCAATGGGTGGGGAGGTGTGTTCAACAAAGGGTTCACTGGTAAAGTCGGTCGCATGTCCGGTGTGTAATGGATTACACAAAATTTATGCGTGTGCACAATTTAAATCTAAAACTCCGTCAGAACGATTAACAATAACGAGAAATCTTAAGCTGTACTTCAATTGTTTTTCAAACATGCATACGGTGGCACAATGCAATGGTGGTACATGTCGTGTTTACAATCGTAAACATAATTTCTTATTACATTTTCCTATTACAAGTTCACAAAACAGTAGTGAAAGTAAAAATGAAGTGTCAGCAACATCTGAAGAGCAAGAAATTGGACCCGTAACAGCTTTGTGTAACAAGGAAGCACATAGTGAAATTTTACTAGCCACTGCACTAGTAAAAGTTATGGATTCGACTGGGAATTGTCATCATTTACGAGCTATGCTTGACAGTGGATCTCAAATAAACATAATTAGTAAGAGAACAGCACATAAATTAAATTTAATTACGAAAAAGGGTGTGCTGTCAATACGAGGAGTAGGAGAAGTACGCACGAATTCAGCCTTTCGAACGACAATCGAAATTCAATCATTGTATTCACAAAGGTCATGGATGTTAGACTGCCAAGTAGTGGACCAAGTGCTTAACCTTTTACCCAATAATCACATTTCTACAGAGACGTGGCGTATACCTGAAGACATACAACTACAACTTGCTGATCCTAATTTCATGAAACCAGGACCAATAGATTTATTAATAGGAGCAGAAATATTCTTTGATATGTTAGAAACTGAAAAACGAGAAATCACCGTGGATTACTAGGATTCAGGTCAGACGTATTGTACATTACATATAACTTATATTTACTAACATCTAAAATATAACTTTACTTTTTCGTTGACATAAAACAATAGTCTAATTTTATTTAATAATCTATCCTCTGTAACTAAGGTACACGATTGCCTGTGTCTCCTTCAGGCAATTAAAACTCATTTAAGGAGATAGGGACGATATTTGGGCAGACGTCGGGTAGCTTCCGATTCTTGGTTTTGACCAAGATCCTCAACTATTAAACAAGCCCCTAACATATGGTGGAGGCGCCGGGTTTTTTATCCGCAGCAACATAGATATTGGGTTTGGATTAAAATATATTTGTATTAAGTATTTACTACAAAAAACATTTAATATAAAATTAAAATGTATAATATAAACAAAATAATAAATAATTAAAATAAGCTGAATGAAGTTTTTTATATAAAATAATCAAGGAGTTCATTTTTAACAATAAATTTTAATGTTTAATTCGTTTCATTGGGGTTAGGACCTAATGATCTAAAATTTGTTCAACTACAATTATAATTAAAATTAAAATTGGTAATATTGGAAAATAAAAATTACAAACAGTTATAAATATTAATCTCTAATAAAAAACGAATACGCTTTTAAATTGTACCATTGCCACGATTAAGTGGTCGTAGAGAAGTATCTTCCTTACTCAGCAGTATTTTATCGTTTTAGCTGGCAATTTTTCAATAAATGAGAATGCTACAAAAAAAAATCAGACAGACGGCACACATATTTTATTCTTTATATTTTAGCTTTGAAGTGGCTTAGAAATAGAAAATTAAATAGTCATAAAAATACATATTTTACAAAGTAAGGGTCACAATAAACATATGCACAGAAATGAGTCAACGCCCATATTAACACCATGCGTTTGGACTTAAAAAAAAGGTCGTAGAACGATGAAAAATGAACCGATTTATTTGATTTTTTTATGATATCTTAGAAATGTCATTGAGCGGGTCTGGTGAAAAATTCAAGTCTTAAGTCGAAAACGGACGAAATTTTAAAACGCTCGCAGGTGAGCGGCAAAATATTTCCGAACTTTGTCAATAATTTTCCCAGAGTGACCGAATACTTTTGTTATTATATAAAAAATTATTATAAAAAAATCGTTTTCATGTCGTAAAGTGTCGCAAGAATTTCGGGCGTCTCGAACGCATTAAAAAAAAAAAATGCTCGTAAAACGGTGAAAATTGAACGGATTGAATTGATTTTTTTATCATATCTCAGGAATGTCATTGAGCGGGTCTGGTGAGAAATTCAAGTCTTAAGTCGAAAACGATGGAAATTTTAAAACGCTCGCGGGCGATAAAATATAGTGCTATATGCAAATGCAAAATAGTGTCATAATAAAAATACATATTACACCATATAATAAACGTATGAGCAGAAATGAATCACTGTGCATATTAAACCATGCGCGTAGACTTAAAAAAAAAAAGCTCGTAAAATGGTGAAAAATTAATGGATTAAATTAATTTTTTTATCATACCTCAGGAATGTCATTGGGCGGGTCTAATGAAAATTTCAAACCATAAGTCGTAAAACAAAGCGAGCGTTTTTCTCAAAAACGGTCGAAATTTTAAAACACTCGGGGGCGAGTGGCAAAATTTTCCGACCTTCGCCAATAATTATCCCGGAGTCTGTTGACCGAGTACTTTCGTTAAAAAAAAAAATTTTGAAAATCCGAGCAAGCTAAGTAATTTTCCCAGAAAAGCGTTTTTTTCCTTGTTCTATTATTTAATGAGATTAATAGAATAGGCAATACAAGTACTTGTTATAAATACATTTAAAATATTTACTTTTGTATTCAACAAAGAGGGGATAATATAGGCTGTTGCCGTTTTCACAGTTACTATAACGATTTTATGGAACCAATTTTTAATATTATTTTGGGGAAAAAGGTTGATGAATGGTTTAGCGTACTTTATATCGTAGCAATTATTTCATATGTCGAATAGACATTGTTTGTAAAAAAACCTACCTTAAAACTATTTCATTTTATCAATTTGTTGTGATGTTCCTATGAGAAAGCTTGTACTTTTATGAAAAGCTAAACGTTAATATTGAAATTACATCAATACAAGTTTAAATAACATTATCTAAGTTAAAAAAAAAAAGTACAGTCGAGATCCAACGTCATGGAAGTATTCCTGTTAGATTAGTATTGATTATTATATATATATATATATATTTTAACATGACCGGCATTATTGTGGACCGCCCAGGAATTGACGTTAGGCATTACTTCAGGGCGGCCTACACCATCTTTGTAACTCACAACATAGCATGACTTCCCTCGATAGCCAAAAATCCGGTCGGTTACTTGGGTTGCACTACAAGGAGATGAGGGACTTTAGGATAGTGAACTTAAACACACTAAGGCGCCCGCCTAAACTAGCAACTCAGATTCTCCTGGCCATGATTTCTTTTTGGCGAACGCCTGGACGAGCGACCACGTCTCCCGGCTTCCTAACATCAGGTCCGCCGTAGACGCGACTTGGAACGTGGACCCCTGTTGGGACTCCAAAAGGTTTCGCTCCTGGGCCCATGCTCGTACCGGAAGAGGATGTGGAGAGCATTGTCTACCTTGTCCCGAGCGGTCCGAATAATGGCCGCACGTTAGCGCGGCTGCTATACGAATAACGTGAGGATACTCATTTAAAGCAGCCATGGCCAGATGATACGTTATTATGTAAGATGATACGTTATATCAGCGTGTGTCTGTTCCATCCAACTGTCCAACCAATTAGATATGTGCTATTCATACATCATTATTTAACGAAAAAATGAGGATAGTATTCATAATAAATCACACTGAAGATAAAAAAAAGTAATATTTTCCATATAATTTTAATAGTTTGTATAATTTATTAATTTTTTTTATTATTAGTGAAGATTAAAAATACTTTAGTAACGTAAAATTTTCTCTATATTGTCTTCAACAAAATAGAAACTTTTTTATCATGTTTATCATGTTAGTGTAAAAACATCATCAAATGTCTCCGTAATAGTCTCCTTTTATTCCTTTAAATTCTTACTGTAATTATTTGAATACGTCTATGAATTATTAATTTAAATTAATACAATACTTAATGTTTAAAAATAGTGTACCTACAGTAAAAAATATAATCGTTATAGTACTCATACTTTAAGCAAAATTTGCCGTTAATGAACATGAAAAAACATCACAATAAAATTTACATATCTATTGTGTATTTTAATTAACTCACTAAATAAATACAGACCAAAAACTCGACAACTTTAAGAAATACATTTACAAAAATTTTCTTTTTAATGCAGGTACATCACATTCTGTATTAAAAATAAATAAATCGTAATTGCATAATAAATTATTTGTATAACTATATATGTTAACCTATGTAATATAGTTGGAATTTATAAATATGATATAACATAGAATATATTAAATAATAATTAATTTTTTTTTATGAAGTGTTTGTTTTTAACAAATTTGTTGTGAAGTATATTTTGGTTTTAAAAATAATATTGGACAAAAAATAGATTTTTACCGGACTTTCTTTATTATTATTGGGAATTTAAATACTTCATTTCCTTTTTTTGTACATTTGTGTTTTTTATATTTTTTTTTCAAAATAAGCTAGTGAGACATTTTTTTCATCATGTGACTTGAGTATATATTTAAGCGTATTAAATTTCTATAAACCAACGCAAGATTAATTAAACAAAGATTAATTTGGAACAATCGTAGTAAAAAAAAAAAAAATTAAACTTATATAGAATCATACTAATAAAATGATTAGGTATTAATTTACTTTTTTTTAAGTAATTAATAAAAAAGGTGAAGTCAGAATTACTCTGTTTACATTATATACCTTCCTGGTGCTTTTTAAGTTTTTGGTTCACATAAAGCTTAGAAAATAATATTTTTATCATTGAGACCACAATTAATTAAAATATATATACAGAGTGTATGGTAAGTAAGGAAACGAGTCAATTGTTATGAACAATGATAGTAACAGAAGCCCGTTTCCTTACTTATTGAACACCTATATATATATATTTCATATTTCAGAATTATAATATCAAATTATCAGACAACATATTTAATGTTAACAGGAGTTTGATTATCAATGTTAAAGAAAATCTAAATAGAAGAATCGTTTAAGCATAATATATGAGATTAATTTGCTGACTTATATTTGACAATTTTTTTTTTTAAAGAATTTAAGGTAATGCATGAAGACCATAGTATTTTATTTATAAATATCTTACTTCTATAATAAAACTAACTCAATTAATATTTGTAATATTCATTATTATTTATTATTTATTAGTTATTACTGTTGAAAAAAGAAAATGGATGAATCCGTGGATTGTATGATGGAAAAGGTTATTGAAAATAAGGAAGTTACTAAAAAACCAAACATAAGAAAGGATAAAACAAATATTATTGTATTATTGTTATTTTATACTTTACAAGGAGTACCTATGGGGTTTTCTCTTTCTATACCTTTATTTTTACAAAATATACACAATTTACCATTTATTGAACAAGTAAGTTGCTTAAAGAAAATAATAAGCTTTAGGTTGATTTTTAAAATGTGAAGCATTGCAATTATAACCTCTCACATTATTTAGTCAAATTTAATTTAGTCCTATAAATGAAAAGCTAGAAAAGTAAATAGAATTTTTTGCTTAAAAGAAGATCGATAAACAATTCTAAAAAAATGATTTTTAGGATATGTGAAGTGTGTTTTGCCAACTGTTGGCGATAAATTTGTCGATTTATGTATCCTTAATAAGTAAAAATGTATAATAAAAATTGATCAATTGTGGCTAATTAATTAAAAATATTATTAATTTAAAAACTAAAAAATATTAAACTCAAAAGCCACAAAAAATTACTGAAACGTTGCGGATAAGTATTTCGGAAACAATGTTCCATTATCAACGCTAAACACATACTGATACCCCAATTAGAAAAAACTGCCTTATATACCTCTAGTTACGTCATCACTAATTATTATTATTACATTTTGCCAGTTTTCATAAGTTTAATAATGAATATTTTAGTAGGCCAAGATCCCAATTAATTAAATTGTTTTTATTTTTACATATTTTTATTGCCTCCTTAATATTAAGTTCTTTGTAATTATTTACGTTTTTAATTAGTTTTATGGTTTTAATGGAGTGATTATGTGTCATTAAATGTTCAGTCGCTAGAGATTTCTCAATTTCTTGATTTTTAATGTTTCTTTAGAAACATACTTAGGAACATAGAAACAAATACTTTAGACAGTCTAGAAATAAACAAAGAAACACTTCAAGTAGAAGGTAATTATGAACAATACATACTAGTAAAGAGAGAATACAAACAAGACCAACACATTATAGAAGAAGAGAATAAAAATGATATAGATGGTAAGATAAGTTATAACGTAAAAGATAGAAGTTTTCTGTTAAAAAATTGTAGAAAATTCTGTTGTAAATAAAGGGGGTTTAGGAAAAAATGAAGAACATTCACGACTCATACAGGACTTAAAAAATAAAAACTGTTTTTATTTAAAATCAAATAAGGGTAATTCCATAGTAATACTGAAGAAAGAAGATTATTTTGAGAGGGTATCAAAAATGATCCAAGAGGGTCTCTATAAAGAAATTAAAATAAAACCATTAAGTAAAATGATAAGGGAGGCTACAAACTGTATCAATAGTTAAAACATAATAATTGAAGAAAGTTTCATGTTTTTTATTAAAATTTCAAACCCTCAAAAACCTAAACTATATGCTTTGCCAAAAATAAATAAGCCAGGTAATAATATGAGATCTATTGTATCGAATATTAATGCTCCGACTTACAATTTTGCTTAACACTTAGTAAGGGTATTTTGATCTTATTAATAAATTTGATAGCTTTTCATTTAAAAATAATATTGACTTAGTTCAAAATTTATCTGTTTATACCATTCAAAATAATGACAGGTTAATTTCTTTTGACGTAATACCCTTTTTTCCGAATATTCCGATAAATATAATAATTGATTTTTTTTTAAGACTGGCTAAAGGAACAAAAAAGGATAAAATAAATGAGCTGATTAATTTAACAAAGTTATGTATGAGTCAAAATGTTTTTCAGTTTCAAAATAAATTTTATGAGTAAATTAAGGGCACAGTAATGGGAAATCCGCTATCTCCATTTTTAGCAGAACTTTTCATGAGTAAGTTTGAAATAAATATTGTTTATAAAACATGAAATTTATTGAGGCTGTATATTATAGTAAAATATAACAAAAATAAAATAAAGGTTAAAGGTAACACCTTTATCAGATTTTGATAAAGAACTGGTGGTTATAAAAGAAATAGCTTGATTAAATGGGTATGACGAAAACATAATTTCAAAATTAGTCCGAACACTAAAGTGGAACAAAGAAAGGAGGACAACTAGTACAATCACTATCGTATGGGAACAAAAAGTAATTTTATGTTATCCGGGCATCTCAAATGGACTAGCTAGAATATTTAAGAATTTTGGTATTACTTTAGTAACATCTAAGAGAAATAATTTAAGAGATTTATGAGGTAATTCTAAAGATAAGGTAGAAGAAGGGGAGAAATCTAGTATTTATAAAATACAATGTGAAAGTTGTAATAAATGTTACATAGGACAAACAAAAAGAAATATAGGGGTCAGGTTTAAAGAGTACTTAAGAAACATTAAAAATCAAGAAATTGAGAAATCTCCAGTGGCTGAACATTTAATGACACATAATCACTCCATTAAAACCATAAAACTAATTAAAAACGTAAATAATTACAAAGAACTTAATATTAGAGAGGCAATAGAAATGTTTCCGAAATACGAATCTGCGAAATTTCAGTAATTTTTAATGGCTTTTGAGGTTAATATATTTTAGTTTTTAAATTAATAATATTTTTAATATAGTTTTAATTTTATTTCAGTAAAAATGTTCACTATTATAATAAAAATGCTGACCACCAATGACTTTTATTAACATATGAGGAGTCGACACTCCATACACTCCCATGAAATTTCCTCTGATGAGCATTAATTTTGCTCATAAATCAACAACATTAGCTTCTAAAAAAAAATCTAGCATGGCCTTTGCTGTGGTTCTACGTTGAGACAAAACGTGTTATTTTTTAATTTAATTAAATAATTGAAAATATAGGAAACAAATAAATCAATCAACATTTTAAATTTCGTATTTCAAAATTTTCTTACATTTATTTAAACGTAAGATTATTTTATTTATTTTTTTGATGAATTTTTAACCATAATTATTGTGTATGTGATTTTTACAAAGGCAAAATTTAGTATTGTCGTTTGGCCTTACAGTATGAAACTTTTATGGGCACCTATAATCGATTCTATCTTCTTACGGAAAATAGGTCGCAGAAAATCCTGGTTAATACCCGTGCAATATTTACTTGGTACATTTTTGATTATTTTACTTAATTAAAATTAATTATCTTTTTAATTGTATACTGATAAATGTTACCAGGTTTTTCTTTTCTTATTTTGGGTTTTAATATAAACTATTGGCTAGTCAAAACAAATAAACCTCACATATACATGCTTATTTTAATGGTTTTTTTCACAAACTTCCTTGCTGCTACACAAGATATTGTTGTTGATGGATGGGCTCTATCAATGTTGAAAAAGTTTGTATTGTACGATTCTTAAATGTTTTTTTTTTAAAGTCTTATTTTTTTAGAGAAAATATTGGGTATGTATCAATGTGTAATAGCGCAGGCCAAGCATTTGGTATATTTTTAGGATATGTTCTATTAATTATGCTCGAATCTGAATCTTTTTGTAATAATTGGTTAAGATTACATCCTACGTCAGGTGGTTTAATAACATTCCAAGGTAATTTTTATTTTTACGATAGATATAGAATTTTTGAAAAGCTTTTACAGTTAAAATATAATATTTATTGATTTTTAATTATTATTTAATTTTTTTTAGGTTATTTATATTTTTGGGGTTGTATATTTATAATGGTTACAACGTTAATAGCTGTATTAAAAAGTGAAAAAGATAACTTGCACAAATTATCGTGTAATAACTATTACAGTATGATTGAAACTTATAAGTTGTTAATAAATATAATGAGGCTTCCCAGCATTAGAATGTTTGCTCTTATTTTAATTACAATAAAAGTAAGAAAAAATGATTCACTTCTTTAAATTAAACATTTCTTTTTCCCTATTGTTTAAATTTGAAATAATAAAATAAAAAAAAAAACCCAGCACAGTGGGGTCGCGGCATAGTGGGGATGTTGCATAGTTGGGTCCAGTATAGATTTAATCTGACAGTGATTAAAATCACTATCATAAGAAACGCTTCGATGCAAATCAGTAGATAGTGTTTAATTCTAAGAAATTGGTGGATAATTACAAAAGCTACATTATCTGCTAGTTTCTTATTAATACCCTGATTAAGATAAAGTATGTCGAATGAAAAAGGGATTATTAAAAAATATTATTTCTCATAAAAAAATTGTGTTGATTCGTACACTTTTCAATGAGTTATAGCATTATAAAGTTAAAAATGTAACCAACCCAACCCAACATCAACTCCTATTTCCTTAATTATATCCAGATTAGTAATTATTTTAATTATATATTATATAATTTTTATAATTAATTATTTTCAAATTATTATTGATTTTTAATATGTTAAAAGTAATCATTTTGAACCTACTTCTTTTTGTTCTTTAAAGTGAAAGTTTTAATAAAAAAAAAATGAATTTATTACCATAACTTTTAACTCAACTTGCAAGTTTGAAATAAATATTATTAAATAGAAAAAAAT